CTTATTCCATTCAGTTGTTTGTGAGGAGTGTCTTGGCCATATTTTCAGGCTATTTCTGAGTTTCTTATTCTTTTCCACTGGTTTATAGATCCCTCCCTCCACAAATACAATATGGTCGAAATTATTCTTGCTGTGTTAGGAGCCTGCAGACTGAGGAGTGATTCTTCCTGTATTAGCTATCTGTCTTGTTGATGCCACAAAACACCTGACAAAAGCAGCTTAAGGAGGAAGAGTTTATTTTGTCTCACAGTGTGAGGGTGCAGTCCATCATGGAGGGGAAGGCGTGGGAGCAGGAGAGTGAGGAAGCTGGTCACAGTGCATCTGTAGTCGGGAAGCAGAGAGTTGGATGCTGTTGCCCAGCTCTCTTATTTGGTCCAAAAGTAATGCCCATGGGAATGGTATCACCCACATTTAGGGTGGGTCTTCCCGCCTCAACCTAATCACAGAAAGTTTCTCCCAAATATGCTCAGAGATATGAATGGCATCTCCAAATCCTGTCCAGTTGACAGTCAAGATCTGTTCTTGTCATCATCATTCTAGCTTTTGTCTTTCCTTATAAATCTACGTACTGTATTTTTTATACATGTAGTACTGAAGTTCAAAGGGACTCACACATGCTAGGTACATTTTTTTATAGTAGTTATACTAAACCTGTACATCAATTTGGGAAGAATCAACCAGCTTCTCACATCGAGTCTTTCTGTTGTGATCGCAGTGTGCGTCTGTTTCTCAGATGGATTTTCGTTTCTCCCAGTGTGTTACGTAGCTTGCACCATACTGGCCCTGCTCATGTTTTGTTACATTTTCATCTGAGAATTTTTATCTATAAAACAATATTTGGTGCTTTTTAAGTGGCATTGTAGCTTTAATTTTAGTGCCTCTTTGCTTATTGCCTATTTGTAGAAAGTTCAAGGGAGATGATGAAATGGCTCAGCTGGTAAAGGCACTTTCCACCAAGGCCTGCTCAAAACCACATGATGAAAGGAGAGAACCAACTCCTGCAAGTTGTCCTTTGCCCTCCACATGTACATCGTGGAAATGTGTAACTCCCCCATGGACACGGGAATAAATACATAGTATATCATGACACATGTGTGCCCATAGACAGACAGACAGATACACATACACATACACACACAGAGGAATAAATACATAAATTTCAAAAAAAAAAATCTTTTTAAATGTTCAGTTTTGTTTTGTTTTAAGACAGGATCTCATGTATCCCCGACTGGCCTGGAACTCATAGTGTAGCCAAGGATGACCTTAAACTTCTGATCCTCCTGCCTCACCTCTCAAATGCTGAGATTACAGGTGTGCACAGCCACACTCAGGTTTTGCTGTCTCTGGGTTGAACCCAGATGAGGCAAACATTCTACAGCCTCAACTACATCCCTAGTCTCAGGGAGTTTTACATGTTGGTTCTGTATTATGACCTTACTGGATTTGCTTTGTTGTTCTAGATTTTATACCTTCCTTTGAATTTTCCATTAGACCATCATGCCATCTTCAAATAAGACTTGTGTCTTCCTTTCCTTCCTGTGCACTTTTCATTTCCTTGGCCGGGGTTGTTGAATTGTTGAGAATGTCCAGCCCTGTGTGGGACGGCAGTGGAGGGGCTGATCTGAGGGGCAGCATACGTCTTTCTTCATTATGTGTGAAGGAAGCTGAGGGTTTGGGGAGAACCTTTTATGGCACTTAGAAGGCCCTGTTGTAGTATTGATTTTCTGAGGATTTTTGTCACGGTGGGGGTTGAATTTGTCAAATAATTTTTTGCATCACTTGATAGACGTGTGACTTTCTTTCATGTAGTCCGAGGGGCCCTGAGATGGTTGGCTTTTGAATATTGAACTAGGCCATATTATTGTGATGAATCCATTTGGTCACAGTGTATGGTTGCTGAATTCTGCTCACTAATACTCTGCTGAGGATTTTTGTTTCATTTCTCTTTTTTTAATATTTTATTATTTTTATTTTATATGTACAAGTGTATTGCCTGCACGTATGTATGTGAGTATACCCATGTCATGCAATTTCAGATTCCCCTGGAACTGGAGTTAAGGACGGTTTGTAGCCAACATGCGAGTACTGGGAATTGAACCCAGGTCCTCTGCAAGAGCAGTCAGTGCTCTTAACCACTGAGCCATCTCTCCAGCCCTGAGGAATTTTGTTTCTATTTTCATGAGAAATATTGACCTTCAGTCTTTGTTTCTTATCCTTCTCTCTTTTTTTTTTTTTTGCGTGTGTGTGTGTGTGTCTGTGTGTCTGTGTGTGTGTCTGTGTGTGTGTCTGTGTGTCTGTGTGTGTGTGTCTGTGTGTATATGTGTACTTGTGCACTGTCTCCATCTGGTTTGAGTATCTCTTCTGGATTCTTTCCAATATATATAATTCAGATGTCATTTGTGCTAACAGAAGTCTACTTCAGATAAAGGTTAAGTACAATAAAGGTTAAGAACACTAAAGCATTAAACTGACTGGGTATGGTAGCACATTCCTATAAACCCAACATTCAGCAGGTAGAGGCAGATGGCAAGTGGATCTTTGTGAGTTCAAGGCCAGCCTGGTCTACATAGCAAGTTTTAGGTCAACCAGGGCCATGTAGTAAGACACTGTCTCAAAAAAACTAAATAAATAAAAATTAAACTGCATCTAAAATATTACCTTTTAAAATATTTAATTTATTATTTTTATTTTATGTGTATCAGTGTACTGCCCACATTGGGTGCATGTGCCCCTGTGTCATGCAGTGCCCACAGAGGTCAGCAGAGGGCATCAGATCCCCTGGAACTGGAGTTATGGATGGTAGTTAGCTGCCATATGGGTGCTGGGAACCAAACCTGGGTCCTCTGCAAGAGCAGCCAATGCTCTTAACCACTGAACCATCTCTCCAGCCCCTAAAATATTACTTTATAAAAGAAATATTCCCTGGTTTTTATTTTTGACATGATTGCACTTATGTCTGAGCATGGTGTGATGCTTCTGTACCCAGTGTAATGATCAATTTAGAGTGATGACCATATCCATCTCCTCAAACATTTGTTATTCAGAATCCTGTCTTCTTTTTTGAGGTGCGCCCTGCTGCTAGTTGAGATAACCACACTGTGCAACATAATGAGAAGCCAACCTGCCTTCCTAGTTATGACTTTGACCCTCCCACCATCCTTCCCTTCCCCCACACAGCCCCACACCAGCCTCTGGTAGCTACTGTCTGACTCATGCTGTGAGATCAATGCTTTGGATTCCATGCATCACTGAGAGAATGCAGTGTTTGTCTGTGCCTCTGGCTTCTGTCACTGTGCTTGATGTCCTCAGGCCTCATCCACATTATCCTCACCCATATTATCCTACAGACAGAATTCCATTCTTTGTGTAGCTGAATAGTACTCAATTGTGTGTATACACCACATTTTCTTTATAAATTCATCCATTCTTGAATACTTAGGTTGATTCCATGTAAGAACGATTATGAAAAGTACTACAGTAAATGCAGGAATTTTTAATGAAAATTTTTGATGTATAACTTTTTAAATAAATCACTTCTTGTCTTAAAAATACTAAACATTCTGTTCAAGCATGGCTTTCTTTGGGTCTGTATCCAGCACTGGCCTGCCAGATGTGTGGTAGTTCTGAATGTTGCAGGGAGCCTCTACACTGTTTTCCCTAAAGGCTCACAAAGTCCATCCCCAGCGTCAGGGTCTCTTTCCTTCATGTTCTTACTGGGGTGTCATTGCTCTTGGGTAAGTATTTCAATTTACAAATGTGTAATAGACATTTCCCCATCAAAAATTATCAAATCTGAGAATTGTTCATTGTTTTTTATTTAGGGCATAAATTATATCAATATAAATTGAAGACATCCCTGTACCGTACATTTATTTACTAAATAAAATCTTAGTAAACATACATTCAGTAAAACTGATCACATAAAGGTCTGTTTGTCAGTTTTAATGCAGGAAGGCTTATTTCAGAATTTAGTTGTATGCATGCCTTTTTGCCCTTAATCTCTGGATTCTGTTCTGTGTAAGGACTTGAAATCAAAACCAGCATCATTGATTTGAGATCTTATGGCCATTAATGCAGGCTAGGGCATGCATTCAGGTTGAAACTTCATGGATTTTTACTGTTTGTGAGTTTTATTTTTGAGTAAAATATATGTATGACCCACACATACAAGGATATAGATGAGAGAGATTGCATAACTTTTATAAAATTAATTTTTATCTCAAAAAGTCATATCTAGGGGCTGGAGAGATGGCTCAGCAGTTAAGAGCACTGACTGCTCTTTCAGAGGACTCGGGTTTGATTCCCAGCACCCACATGGCAGTACCACAGGCACACAGAGGCAGGGAGGCAGGAAGAGAGAGAGGAGAGAGAAGAGGGGAGAGGGGCTAATGACCAAGCCTGAGAGAGAGAGAGAGAAGAGAGAAGAGAGAAGAGAGAGAGAGAGAGAGAGAGAGAGAGAGAGAGAGAGAGAGAGAGAGAGAGAGAGAGAGAGAGAGAATGTGTATACACACATACATGCTCATGTACATGTCTTCTTTGATCACTCTCTGCCTTATTTTTTGAGACATGATCTTTCTTTGATCATGCAGTTCACTGATTGGCTAGGCTAGTTGCCATTGAACCCCAGAAATCATCCTGTCTCTCTCCCTAGTGCTGGGATCATAGCACTTGCTGCCCGTGCCTGGTATTTTATGTAGGTTCTGGGAATTGAACTCATGTCTTCATGCTTGTGTAGCAACTCCTTACCCACTGAACTGTGTCCCCTTTTCAGTTTTTATGTTAGCTGATCAGTGTGAGTTCACTTTATTTTATTCACATGAGCAGTGTATCCAAAATGATTACCATTAGCATCCATGGCATTACCCAGGCATCTAAAATATATGTAGCTTATCATTCATAACATTGTCCTCCTCTAGCTGCATAAGGCAAAGCATACCTCAGAACACAGCTTGATGAAGAGGGATTGCTCCTCTTGCTTCAATATTGTCCTAATTCCACAGGATTCAAGCCAAAACTCGAGAATTTAGGGAGCGGCAGGCTCGAGAACGGGACTATGCTGAAATTCAAGATTTCCATCGGACCTTTGGCTGTGATGACGACTTGCTGTACCGGGGCATGTCATCCTATGAAGGCTGCCTGGCTCTCGGCAACAGACCCCAGAGCCCAAGAGAAGGGCACTTGATGGACACTTTGTATGCTCAAGTGAAGAAGCCACGGAGCTCCAAACCCTCCCCTGGGGACAGGTAGGCACCAGCAGTCACGGCTTTGTATCTATGTCAGTCTTTGCTGGTTCTGGACAGGAAAGTAGATGCTCATCAGTGCCCAGAGTGAACTGCTGATTATTAACAGCCTTTAAAACACTGTGTGTCTAAAGGTATTGAGTTGACACAAATCAATAGCTAATGGAAAGAGCAGCAAGAGGTTTGGGTCACTCTCCTAGTGACTCTAGTTGATAGTGCTCCTCCTGAGCTCTTGTGCCCCAGGACCTGCCTTTCCTTTGTAACTCAGATCAAAGGCAAACTCGAAATGCCAGCTCCCTACTTAACCAACATTTCCTCTTCTTGATAGAAGGGCCTCTAGCTGGGATTAATTAAATATGGGGACATTCATTCTGATTGTCTTAGAAGGGCTACTTTTGGGGTGGCATTATTTTATACCATGGAAGCGTTAGTAAACAAGAAATGCAGAAGAGCTGTTCTACAAGAGACCTGTCAGCAGCAGTCCAGGCCCCAGGTCTGAAGTGCTTAGCCATGCAACAGATGGATTGCATTGTTGACTGGGTTTTAATAGTTACTAGTTATTTAAAAATTTAGCTCAACTAAAACTTTAGGCTATATATGTACTTATATATACTTATTAATGGTTCCATGTACTACAGGTGTATTTACTTCAAATGGCTATCATGCATCTCCGATTTTAGCCGAAACAATTTGAAATGAAGTTCTTCCCACCCCTCCCCTTTTGTATACTCAAGCACCATATGGAGTTTAGCTTGTGAAGAAAATAATCCTCATTTCCTTTCATATCACATGTACGCATGGTATTGTCATAAACAATACACTAATCATGTTATAAACATCGCTCTTCGATCTCTGTGGCAGCTGAGCTTTGTAAATTATAAATGGTTTCACTTAAAAACACTGTTTCTGAAGCATTCCTGTGCATCAGGCTTGCCTGAAGGGCTTCTTAGAACACTGAGTAATTGCTCTGATGCAGCAGGTTGAGGAGAGTGGAACCAAACAACTTGGATTTCTTAGAACTCCCCTGACTGAGGCTGATCCTGTAGGTTTCACTGTAGGATCCTTTGCAAAACAGGAGAGACAATAAGTTTATTCCATCCCTGGCCTCCATGTGGTAGTTGTTACTACAGTTTTGCACAGTCCTTTTTCTAATGACTGACTTCCAGCTATTTGTGTTAGAAGTTTGCAAATGCAAAAACTAACCTCAGGCAGCCCTAGAAGGAAGCATTTTTTAAAAACAGCCAATAGGAACAAAGCAACATAAAACAGCTCTTAAACAAGCAGACCTTAAGGGCTTCCCCATTGTGTGGCTTAGATTTTCTTGATTATCTCAGAAAATGTATTGGGCATTGAATCTAATGGTTGGCTCTTCCAAGATGAACACTTAGAATCACTCCAGCTCCCTCCCTGGGTCCTCCAGAAGGTTCACTTGTGAATTAACGGACATGTGAGGACTCAGAGAATGAAGTGTCATTAGGGGCTATGGCATTTTCTTTAAAAGCTTTCTGCCTGGTTGCTGCCGTGTTTGTAGAACTGTCTTCAGAAGGTCAGGCGCCATTTGAAGGCCATATCTGTCCCTCTGGAAAGTGCTTTCCTGAGAGAAAGGTAACCAGAAGCACCTGCACTGCCAGCTAGTGACTTCTGGGGAACTGGGAAAAAGTGGCTGACCAATTAGTGGTTGCTGATAATAGCATTTATCATTTTCACATCTCTCACATGTAGCTGGAAAACCTGAAAACCTGTAGCTGTTATATAACCCCACAGTTCCAGCTACAATGAGACCACTGTGCTCCTGACTACCAGAAATGGCTGCCTTCAACCCTGTGCCTTAGAAGAGTCGAACTCTTGCTCTGGCTTGTAGCATCGCAGCCTGTGGTTTCCTCCCTGCTAACCCTGAGCTGAAACAGCCTCCTGGTGTATGTCCATCCAAATGCACCAGGCAAATCCTCCTGTCAGACAGTGGTCATAGGGGAGAGCCACACATTTGACACTACTTTCTTCCACAGCCCCCTTAGCCTTACCTAGAAAACCATAATTTATTTTTTCTGGGAAAACAAAAGATTGTAGACACTTTAGTTTTCTTAAATTGTTACTTTTACAGAGAATAAGATTTCCATTAAGAATGAATGTAACTTTCAAAGTGAGGAGTCATGTGCCTGGCAAGTTCTTTGCTGATCATTGAACATGAACTTGGCTTGGGAGCCTGGTATCACCCCAATGTCTTTTTTGTTGGAGAGAAAGCTCTAGAAAAGTATTTTGCATTTGAGCAGTATACAAGCTCTTTTCCAAGGAAAGACAATCTCTTGCTACTGTGCCTTTGCTTTAAATTGTTTCGATTATAATGCAACTTAAATACGTATAAAGATAAAATGGGACTAAACTCCTGTGTAGAACAATTATACAACTAATAAAACTAAAATCAAGATGCCAGAATCATCACATTCCTGTGAACACTGTTAATGTGGCCAGTAATATATTTTCATCATATTCTTTTATTGGTTAAATTGTGACAAAAACCAATAGATAAGCCATGTGTGGCAGTGCACGCCTGCAATCCTGGTGCTCAGGCAGGTCTGTTTGATCTGTTTTGCTCACTTCTGTGAGCTGAGCATCCTTTCCTCCTCTTTGGCTGGTATACCATTTAGGACATCACCCAGCTTCCTTTCATTAAATTAAGACAGAGAATTGGTACTTCTTGGTGTCTTCCTATTTGTGAACTTAAATCCAGAGTGAAGTAACATGCTTACAAGGTGATCTAGAATAAGCTTATGTTAACTTAAAAAAACAATCATCATTCTAATGGAAATATAAAACTTGAAAGTCCTTAGAAATTTCCTCCATGAATAATGTACAAACTCCTGTTGACTAACTAAATGTCACCAAAATTTACAGTGGATGCCTGTTGAACTTTACTATTCAAATTTCTGAATTTCCCAGGAATGTAGGCATTGCTGATAATTTGAAAAGTACCTTGCATCTCTTCTCAGATTTTCTTTGTTCAATAAAGTAGTAGTCCACAGAGTTCATCACTTAATCATTGTGATGGATCCCATAGCCAGAAACATGGAAGCAACAGGGGAAATGTATTAAACGATGTGAACTTGATGCCACACCTTCCCAGCTCCACATATTCTGTGTAAAATGGCTGTATAGGAAGCATCAATTATATATAGAAATATATTCCTGCCTGTTTACGTGAGCCAGCACATGAATTGGTACCAAGTATATGCTAGAGTCATCTTGCCTTTGTTACTACTGTCCATTCATGTGTATTTAATTGTGCCAGTATTTTCATGCATGCCCAACTGTATCCTCACATGTGCTAGTACCTGAATGCAAGCTGCAGTCACGATTCTGTTGTTGTTATTCTTTATTGATGTCTCTGGTAACACTTTGATTTTTGACAGTGGCAATGAACAGGCAGACGCTATTGTATATTTTATGTGAATAATTAGGTTTAAACTCACCAAAATATTGGTGAGCTTATTCTTTATCCTCTGTATAACCAGGGACCTCAAAGATTTAGGTGTGGCCAGTGGATCACGATCCTGTATTTCCCTGACTGAGGGCACTTGGCCAAGAACCCCATGTCTGATACAGTGTGGGTGACGTGTTGGTCCTTCACTGTGCTCTGGAAGACACTGTCAGTTGCCTACCTACCCAATACCTTTTCTCTTTTCTCCATTGTGGAATAAATCCTTGTAATATTCAGGAAGGTAAATGCCTGTCTCAAAATTTCAATTTCCCAGGCTCCTTTGTAATAAGAAGTGATCATGTGACAAAGTTCTAACTAATAAAATCAAGAAGCCAGTGGAGCCATGGGACTTCCTGCAGAACTAGTTTTCTCCTGATTAAAATGGAGTGGGCAAGGGTGTCTGTGCTAGAGGATTTCCCTAGCATGTGCAAGACCCTCGATTCCATCAGAATAAAAATAACATAGTCCTGCTTCAGTTTTTGCACTTCACCGTTTTCCTTTTTCTGGATGGATCTTGCTTGGATGGATGTTTGTGGGCTTTACCTAACAACCCTGAAGGTGAAGGACACTGGAAGCCTTGAGCAGTAGCTGTTCTGGTCCTGGCTTGCCCACCCTGACTTCTTGTTACCTGTGAAAAGTGAATCTGTTGCTTCAGTTACTACCTTGAAATTTCTTTCATGAGGACAGACACCAGGCTGATTGTAAGAAATTGTGTGCGGAAGAGCCTGGGAACCGTGCGCCTCCCTCTGCTCCCCTTCCTTTCTCCCTTCCCCTCCCCTCCATCTCTTCTCCTTCTTTCCTCCTTCCTCCTCCCGCTGCCCCCTCCTTCTCTCCTCCTTACCCCTCCCCTCTCCCTCTCTCCTCCCTCCTTCCCCCATACTTCTGCCTTCTCCTCCTTTTTGATACAGGGTCTTATGTATTCCACACTGACCTTGAACTAACTCACTGTATAGCCAAAGATTACCTTGAATTTCTGATCTTTCTGCCTGCACCTCCTGAGTGCTAGGTCTGTGGGTGTGTGCCACCACACCTAGTTTATGATATAATGGGATTGAACCCAGGGCCTCAAGATGCATGCTGAATGAGCACTCTACCAACTGAGCCTCAGCCCCAGCCCCAGCACCATCATCTTTTAATCAAGACTGTCAGTGTTTTGGAGAACTAGCCTCTGATCAAGGAATTTTAATATTCATGAAATTAAGTAATGGTCAGAATCCTTCTCTGTCTGTCCCCAAAGGCTCTGCCTTTTGTTTTTTCAGGCCTCTGCTTAAAGATGTTACCAATCTGATGCTGCCTAGCAGAAATCCCATTTATCTGTTTGAGGCACTTAGGGACCTTGATAACTCCCACCTCTGTGGACAATTCTGCTGTAATGCTGGCGTGAACTGTGGCACCAGCTTGCCTGAGTTTGGCTGTGCTCTTCCACTCTGAGCTGCCTGCACTGCTTCAATCCCCTCACCTGTAAAATGGATGTTAATGTCATTAGCTCACAAAGCTTCGGAAGGATTAGCTCTGTTAATAGCTAATA